GAAGAAATGTTTTACGCTGAGGGTGGTGAAGCACTGGCACAGGTTGCCCAGAGAGGTGGTGGATGCCCCATCCCTGGAAACATTCCAGGTCAGGTTGGACGGGGCTCTGAGCAACCTGATCTAGTTGAAGATGTCCCTGCCCACGGCAGGGGGGTTGGACTAGATGACCTTTAGAGGTCCCTTCCAACCCAAAGTATTCTATGATTCTATGTTTCTATGTTTCCTGGCTAAATACGACTGGTTTGTCTGAGCTCCATGTTGTATGTTGTTCCTGCTTGATCCTGTCTGCTCTTTCACAGCTGTCTCTGCAGTTAACAGAGGGGCATGGCTGTGAGAGCTTGTGGCTTGATCATCTACAGGAGGCTGCAGTCAGCACCATCTTCGAAGGTCACTGACAGAATTGAATACCTCCTCCTTCAGACATCCTATGGGACCCATCACTGGACCCCACCCAAAGGTGATGTTTGTTCTGATAACACACTTCAAGGTTGTTTGTGTCAGGAGCGAGTGAGATTGGACTGAACTTTGGCTGAATGCTACAAAGGTCGGCTTTGAGGGGCAGTTAATCAGTTGACAGTAGCCGCTGATCATGCTGTTTGTGCAGCTGAGTGGGGAGTTTTGTGGCTGAAATTCTTTGCAAGTTGTGACTGTATAAACTATTCGGCATGACTGATTGGGGTTGGGGCGGGGGTAACCCGATCGTGCTCCTCAGATATCTGATGTTTCTGGCAGACACTGAGCAGACAACTGAAATTAGGTAGCTAGAGAAATTTTTACCTTCTCCCTCAGGTCTGACCCGCTGCCAGATACCACTGTTGCCAATGCACGGTTGTTTGACATGTGTAATCAGAAGGGTCACAGTTTGCAGCGCAACATTAGAAGGCAAACTGAAATCAGTGATGATTTACTTTAAAATGCCTTTCTTAGAAGATGCAGGAGTTTTTTTAAGTTCAGGAGATCATTGATGAAAAGCACATACCTAATGCAGCAGAGATGAGAGGGACAGCTGGGAGAAGTAACCTTATCAGCCATCTTCACCTAAGCCATCCTCACTCATCAGTGAGGCCCCAAAGGAGAAGACAAGTCCAGTGCCCCAAGACATACAGCAACACCTTGTCTGTAAAGACACATGGGAGAGCCAGTGTTTGGTAGTACATAGTCGCAGCCCTGGTACCGGGAAAAGCGTGGCACAGAAATACTTCAGGTTCCTTGTAGATCACCCTCTGAGATTTCTTCCTGCTAGTTTTTACTTCTTGTTTTGTAAAATGCAGTGCTCTTGAAGCACAGTGCAGAACAGTTTGTAAACAGGAATTTGCAAATTGGAAAAAAAGCTTGTAACAGTATCAACTACGCTCTCCTATTAAGGGAAAGAACAAAATTTTCCAAACCTCCCCCTTTGTCCACTTCACCAAAAGCCTGAGGGAGTAGAGAATGCAGCCTACTGGAAAGCTAAAAAACATGTCCTGGGACATGATTAGTTGTTGTGAGAGGGGAGACCCATGTGGAAAGGTTCACTGGGAACACAGTCATTCTGGACAAGCGATTGAAATGACTTGTAGGTATTTCAGTGGGGAGTGAAATTAATAGTATTGAAAGGCTGCAATAAAGTCTCCCCGGAGCCTTCTCTTCTCCAGGCCCAACAACCCCAACTCTCTCAGCCTTTTCTCATAGGAGAGGTGTTCCATCCCCCTGATCATTTTCATGGCCCTCCTCTGGACCCGCTCCAACAGGTCCGTGTCTCTCCTGTGCTGAGGGCTCCAGAGCTGGACGCAGTACTCCAGGTGGGGTCTCACCAGATAGGAGTAGAAGGGCAGAATCACCTCACTCGATGTATTGTTTAAGGTTTTATAGATCAAAAGCCACAATCTGATGGCAGCCTTTAATAGTAGCTTGGTACAGATTGGGGGGCAATAAATGAAGGGGAGCTGTTACATTATATATTCTCTGCGACATGAGTGGTCTTCAAAGGCAGCCTCAGGTTGTGTGATGCAGTAACATAAATTGTTTATGATGCAGACATAGATTTAATGTGGCAGGAGCCAGAATGAAAAGTTGTAATTGTCTCTCAAAGAGCATGCAAAAGGCAATTTACACCTACAGCTGTACATTGGTATTTTAAAAGTTCCCTAAGCAGCTGCCACCCTGATGGGATTAAACTGGACTTGCTTGGATCCCACCACATGCGCTTCATCAGCCTCACCTCTGCTCCTAGAACTGTGACTTTGCAGTAGCTGAGGCTGATGGGAAGGGGATGCAGGGTTCATTTTCCTCCTCAGCATGTTGGAACTGCCTTAGTGCAAATGGCTGGGAGGATCTGGAAGCTGTGGTGTGAGGTGCTGCCAGCAGTCCTTTTTCCACCCGGTAGATAGACTGTACTGCACAAAGTTGGAAACTTACTGAGCTTAAACTTGAGGTTATCAGCAGCAGGGTGAGGTGATTGCCTTTTGCTGTGCTGGAGGGCAGGGGGTTGCACTGGTGTCCTTTGAGTTGAAAGTGAATGTCAGCTCTCCAGCTTTATTGCTACCTCAACTCATTGCGCATTTGGTGACTACGGATTATGACTGTCATAAAAAATAATGGTTACTTACTGTTCATGGATGTTCTGTGGGCATTTGCTGTGGGTACTGTAAAAGTAATCCAGCTGTGCAAGGCCGAGCGGATTCTGTTTCTCAACTATTAGTAATAAGTCCCAGCTATGGAAATACATACTTTGTCAAAAAGGAGACAGCTTGACTTGCAGTGCTGAGATTCAGGGGGAAAATATTTTTATTTAAAGCCTCAGTGTATTTGATCTCAAGTATCCAAGACGTCAAGTGCAACATCAGATGCTGTTTTCTGCACAGTTGCTGCTTGAAATAGAACCATATTTTACATTTGAGATGATGTCACGTTGTAAGAGGCGTTTAAGCTTCTGATACGCAAAGTGAGTGAGACCAGTTGGGAAAGCAAAATGAGCTTTCCCACATACCCCAGTTCTAGTACTAAAGGGTGGCTTTGGGTACCTGGGCCCGGAGGATAGATTCATCTCTGTGATGAAATTACAGCTATTTGCAGCCAGCTACGTAGAAAATAGAGTGACACCAGGGGCAAAATAAAGCTTAACATTTTTTTCCTCTTGAAGCCTCCCAACTCTTGCTATGTTGCTTTTTTGAGATCTTGCTTGGCTTGTTCTATTTATGTTCTGGTCTGGAGCTTTCATGAGAAAACCAAATCTGACATTTCTCAACAAAAGTACAAACAGCTGAGGATGTGTTATATTTATCCGTTGTTTGTAATGGCACCTCTCATTCTGAGCAACATAAAATAAACGATGTGTGCTAGAAGAACTACGCAGCTGGTGGAAGTGCTGGCTTTTAGGCTTGCTGTGTTTCAGAGGGGAATATGGGAGAGAAATAAAAATATCCCTAACTGAAAACCCACCTTTTAAATGGCATTTGTTGGTGCCTGGTCCCATTGTTTCTGGGCTGTTGGCATAAGTAAGCATTTTGCAGAATTGAGCCTTAAGTTTCTGTGGGAGGGAAGGGTTGAGAGGACTAAGACTCCTGCAAATGAGCAGTCTCCCCTCTAACTGGGTAAAGGAAAAACATTCATGAAGCACTCAGTCCTCAGTATGGTCTAAGGTGGAACATCACGGGTGCAGAGTGCTCCAGAAGAGGGGAGGAGGACTGGGAAGAAAAGATGTCTAGTGCTGACAGGCCACTGGGAGTTTCAGAAGATGTGGGATAAACAACGATCCTCAAAGCCACGAGACAAAGACGAATCAAGACATAAGAGTTGGAAAAGCAATCTCTGTTCTCCAATTTATTTGATTCTGTATCGGCTACAGTGTACTCTCATCTCTGTCTCCCAATGTTTCCTGGTTGTCAACTGAATAAACAAAATCTGAGTTTCCTTCTCAGAGGCTTACTTTTCACCTTGACAGGACACGTGGACCCAGGCGAGGATGACCTGCAGACAGCCTTCCGGGAAACGCAGGAAGAGGCTGGTCTTCAGGCCAGTCAGCTCACCCTCATAGAGGGGTACAAGAAAGAACTGCACTATCCTGTCCGTGGCAAACCTAAGACCGTCATTTACTGGCTGGCAGAAATGAAGGACTGTAACACAGAAATCAAGCTCTCGGAGGAGCACCAAGCTTTCCAATGGCTGAAGCTGGAGGATGCTTGCAAATTTGCAGAATATGAGGACATGCAAGCGACGCTGAAAGAAGCGCATCAGTTTCTCTGCTCCAAAGAATAAATGCTTTTGTGAAGGATAAGGGGAATTTTTGAAGAAACATGGCCTGCTTTTTTTTTTTTTTTTTTAACCAGGGGAAGAACTACATGGCTGTAGAAATGTAGATTTCTTTTTTTAAATCTATACAAATTCAGTGAAGATACTTGGAGCTTTTAGAGAGCTTGTGCTTTTGTCTCCCCTAGCTAATGCAAAAAAGCATGGTCTGATTGAATCATGAGCCACAGATGTCTGAATTGAAACCCAGAGCTAACAAAGAATTCCTCTGTCCCTGTCTCCTTTTTTTTTTTTCCTCCTTGAAGTGCTACACAGCCGCAGGTCTTTTTGAAAAATCAAACACTTGATGTTTCTTGACTTGCTGACGTAGAACTACAGAGTTGAGAAAATGCGCATACGGAGATTTTTTTAATAACAAAATATTTACTGCAGAAGTTGCACCTAGCATTTCAAATGGGGAAGCAGTAGTTCGTTCCCAACTCCTCCACTAATACGCTGTGATAACTCGTCAAATCATTTCAGGTCTTGTTTGTTTGTATCATGAATTTATGTGCATCACTAATGTACTGTTATGAAAACATTTTCCATCTAAAGAGTCTTAGTAAACGGTTGATGTACAGTATTTAAATGGTAAACTTGAAGTTCTTCTTTTGCTTCTTTTTTTTTCGTTTTTGCTCTTTAACAAACACCTTGGCCATACATTATTCAGGGGGTTGGGAAAGGGAAATCTGTCTGCCTAATATAGCATTTTCTGCACAGAATATTTAAGCTAACGTGCAATCTTGTGTCCGTTTGATAGCATCTGTGTTTCTGTGGCTGCAGCCTGCACCAATGTGTGGGCAGCAGGGCCACGTGCGCTGCTAGTGCTGTGCTGTAGCTACTCATGCTGGATGATTGCAGTAGCCTGGGGTGGTACAGATGAGCTCGCCTGCATCAGCTTTCCTGTGGACCTCTCTTTTGTCATTAACTTCATTGGGAGCTGAGGTTGTTAGCACTCTGTATGATTATGTACGCTCAGTTAGTAATGGTTCATAATCTTTTGGATGTTTTGGTACATAAATACCAAAAAAGCAAGACAGCATTATTAACATTTTTAGGTGAGGAATGAAGTTTTTCTGAATCCCAGGGAACTTTGGGGGAGAACAAGTTGTCCCTTCTTCCCTACATCTCCTCTAGCCTTTGCTGCTTAGGCACTTGGACCTCGCAAAGCAAATAAGCGTATGAGAAAGTGGGCTTTACTTCCACTTTGTCTTCCTCTTTGCTGCAAGAGTGAAACGAGGGTCATCAGTATCACGTCAGCCCTGGAGAAGGCTTGTGATACCAGCAGCGTAACTGGGCTGACAAATATGGGCGGCAGTTTAGTATTGTGTTACCTGCCAGTTATGCAGCACTCGTCCTTTGGAGCAGCCTATATTAATAATATTAGTACCACTGTGACAGCGATGTCTTGCCCATCACTCTCTTAATCTTCCTGTAGGCTGATTTATAAAAGCCCTCTTATAGTGCATCCTTTTTTGTGTGTGTATACACACACACACACAGATGCACAATAAGGGGGGTTTTAATATATATACACACACACATAAACAATTTCAGTGCTCCTCCACTTTACAGTCAGGTTTTATTTTGATTATGAACACTGTTTAAAAGCATTGCATTCAGGTGATGGCAGAGAGTGAACAGCACATAGGTTGTGCGATTGCTCTGAGTGTTTCTCAGCAAGCTTTAGAAGCAGAGGATGGAAGGTGTCTCCCACTGTCACCTGGTCCAGCCCCAAGGCAGAATCACCTATTTTGAAGTCTTTCCTGATGGATGTTTGGCTAACGTGCTTTTTAAGACCTCTCGTGATGAAGACTCACACCTTCAGCTCCTCTGTCCATACCTTGGCAAATTTGGTGTCTAGCATCTAACGTAGGTAAACGAGTGAGAAAAAACTAAAAGATAACAACCAGTAAAAGAGAGGAGGGAGAAAATGTTAAAAACCTGTGCTGCTTCACAGTCTTAATTTTTCATTATTGTATGAGCTACCATTTAATCAGTGCTGTGTAAACAATGGTGTTACTGCCTTCATGTCTATGAGCAAGATTAGCATATTAAGTGTGAATTACAGAGAGTCATTAACAAGTCATCTGTTCTGCCCATTCAGCAGTAATGAACATAAGCACCTGTTGCTTTGGAAAGCACAACAAAGCTGAACCCCAGGTGAGTATTTCCATTTTAATGGCACTGCATACATAGTGTTCCCAAAGTGCGTCAAGGTTTTGGAGGGTAACAAGTGCTATGCACTGCAAGGTGATGTGCTCCTTGGACAAAATTTCAAAGGCGGGCATCTTAATTATAGGAAAAGGTACAAGGGATGTAACTGTGATAACTGGTGAGGCTCTGCATGTGCGTTTTGAGCGATTTATGTACAGAATGTATTCCCACAAATTTCATGTGTAAAATGATGCTTACGCATTTGGAAACTTGACCCAAAAGTTTTTGGATTTGTTTTAAAGTGGAAACATTGGAAAGTCAGAATGTAATTTTGTTTGTGCTCACTGGTGAAAAATGAGTTCTTCCTCTGCCCGTGTCTGGTAGTAAAATACATTCCCCAGGAGTGTGTGGGAAACCCTCCAGTAAACAATTATGGAATAATCTGCCTGGGGAAGACATTTATTTCCAACCTCTATGATTTTTATGCCCTGAACCAATAAGGTTTGTATTTTCTTTCTTGAAACCAGCTAGGTTTTTGGTCATAATAATATCTCATGGCAGTTAACTCTTAACCAGGCTGTGGATCTATGTTTAAAAAGAAAAATTAAAAAAAAAACCACCAAAACCCAGAGACTTTCAATTCCCTAGAGACCTTACTTCTGCCTTAGGTTAAATAAAAACAAACTCTAGAGAAGTCCAAGCTCCACTGAAATGGCACAAAAAGTTAATTTAGGTAAAGTAAAAAGCAGTGTTTAAGTCTGAGTAAGAGACAGGTTAGGATATGGTTTCCCTTGCACTGCTGAACAAATATACTGATGCAGCTCATACTTGTAATTTCTTGGTGTTAGTATTTCTTTCTCCAGATAATTCCTGATTTATAGCCATGTGATTTTGGTTTACATCATCACAAGATCAGAGAGAAGGAAAGCATAAATTCATGAATATTAGGAAGGCACTAAGATATTGCAAGTTTCACTGAGAAAAGATCAGGATTGAGTGTGATGGGTCACAGATAATTATGCTCATACAAGAAGTGTAAAGGCTGAAAACAGTGCCTTTGTGGAAAAAAACTGTATTACTGCTCTAGATGGGAGCAGTATATCTATCTGTTCATTGACTATTCCATAGGACTATAGGAAATCAGAGACTGAAGCTGGTATAAAAGGGCTGGATAAGTTATATAATAACCAATGTTACTTGTCATCCTACATAAAGAAAGAGAATGTGTGTTATAATAAGGTCTAATACATCCTAAATAGGGAAATATTTTGAGAGACACATACTCTCAGCAGGACTCTTGCAGTGGTGCAGAGGATGATGGAGTGCCACCCTTTAAGTTAGAAAAATTACTTGCTGTTACATAATTGATAACTTAGTGGGGGGAGTATTTTGGCAGATATCTGGAGGAGACTGTAATCTTTTGAGTCCTTAAGGCAGTGCTTATTAGTTATGTTTTCACATTGACAAAGTAACTGACAGCCTTCTGTGTCTGTTGGCAGCTAGTTTTATCTTTAAAAGAATTTAAGGATCATCAGGACTTCTGTTTTTCACCTTACAACTTGTCTCCAAGGATTTACTTTCTCATATGCTCAGTAACTCTATAAGTTCAGGGCAATGGACAGTTGCAGCTGGTGAGAGTCTCGGCTTCATTTAGCTAATCTGGGTTTTGTTACGGGTTATATCAGCTCTGGAAGAGCTAAGCAGCATGTGCCTATACAAACCAAACAATCTGCTCTGCTTGCTTCAACCTCGTGCTGTGGAATGAGATTGTTCTCAAGTGTTAAAAAAAACCCAAACAGTGCGTACAACTCCCTGTCAAAATAGCAAGGCTAGGGAGAAGATTGGCTATGGTGGCACTCTTCCTGGTGGGAAGAGTGACACAGGATGGAACAACAGCTCCATCATTTCAGAGCTAGTCCATTTGATAATTGGCATTATCAAAAAGAGGAGTGACAGTCCCATCTTTCCACTCAATGAGGATCTCTCCATGCCTCAAGGAAGGGGAGCGAGATGGCTGGGGACCTCTTCGTAAGGGAGATGGCTCCCGTAAGTCAGCTCTGCTGCTGTTGGCTGGGGAGCTCTTCAGAGCAGAGAGGATTTTCTTCTTCCTAGGAGAAGAGAGAGGAGGGTATGTAACTGCATCTGTGTGTCTCTTGGTTGCTTCTCCGTGTGAACTGGATCAGTGACCGTAGTGCCCAAATTCCCTAAACCTTCAGGGATGGTGTGAGGTGTGTAGGGGAGAAGGAGCCAACATTAGTGGCTGCATTTGGATGGGACAGTGAGTGGTAGGGAGAAACAGGGTGGCAGAGAGGAGAAATCATCAAGGGTGACACTTCAGGTGTGGGATTGGGAAGGGTGCCAAGATCAAGACTTTTGTTTTGAAATGCTGGACAGGAAAGTGGCAAATAGAATGAACCTTAATCTTACTTACTTGTTGTAATGAACATTGAGTGTCAGTATTATTAATCCCAGTATGAATGCCAAGGGGCTGAGGACCAGCATGGCCGTCTTCCAGTTGGTGCCTGAAAGGATATCATACAAAATAATCATGCATTTGCTGTACCTATCCCTGCTGTACCTACCTTAGGCAATAGCCACATTGCCACAAAAGACAGACTAGCAGGTAACAGGAAAAGTGCTTTGTCCATAAGATCAACACCTTACAGCTGCTTTACACTGCACAGCATTCCTCTATTGAAAATGGCCACAAAAAGGTTTTCTTTCTTGCTAGGAAGACAATAACTATTCATGCTTCTCTGCTCTGCAGCTCTCTGATACGAAATAAGAAGGGCTGGGGGAAGGCACCAGTGCTAGTGGGTATCTATTTCTCCTGGTGAGCTGGGACAAAGCATTTGCATGTTTTTACTCACTTTTGTACTCCAGGCCTGGGAAGAATTGTTTAATCTTTAAAAGGAGTTTTTCTGACAGGTGATTTGGTGCCCTCCTTCCTTACTGAGCATCCTCAGCGGAAGCCAGGGGAATGTAACTCTGAATTGATAGGAAGGTCAGTGGCACTGATGAAACTTCATCTACCTGGTCTCTTCCTCCTCTGGCTGATCCCTGGACCTACCTGCAAGCCTGGCCCCAGCATTTTTCCCTCGATTTCCATGGTGCTTTTTAGAGTGATTGTGGGATGCATCTGGGGAAAGAAGCAGAGAGACTCAGATTAGCAGCTTCCACTGTTGGACTGGAGGAAGCTCCAACTTCCTCCTGGGGCTGCACCGTAACTGCATAGCCCCTTTGTACAGAGCCATCAGGGAAAAGGGAACTTTCTTGTTCCTCAGCATTCCCCAACCACAGATGATTTTGCTCCTAGAACATCTGGTGGCTGGGCTTCCAGGTTAAGACTGTGGCCGTATCACTGAGCCGCTTGCCAAGGCAAACATCTCAACGTGTCGTGTGAGAGCAAAGCCTTGAACCACTCAGTGGTACACATGGAAGTTCTTCAGAAGTACTCAGGTACTTACCACCCCTGAAAATACTTGAGTAATCATAGAATCATAGAATAGTTTGGGTTGGAAGGGACCTCTGAAGGTCATCTAGTCCAACCCCCCTGACGTGGGCAGGGACATCTTCCACTAGATCAGGTTGCTCAGAGCCCCGTCCAACCTGACCTGGAATGTTTCCAGGGATGGGGCATCCACCACCTCTCTGGGCAACCTGTGCCAGTGTTTCACCACCCTCAGCGTAAAAAATTTCTTCCTTATAT